ATCAAGTCCGCATCTTGTACAGCAATTAACCACTAGGAAGAATGTATGCAATGTGTTAATTATTGAAACTGTCCTACCAGTTTGGTTTGAAACTGTCTCATTGCTATTTGTTTCTCAATGAAATTGTGGGAAAAAAAAAAAAAAGAACTATGTACACAGTCACACTTGCACCCAGATTCCAAGTTCCAATTTCTTTTAACTGTTCCATTTAGCCTTCAAATAGGCATTGGTGGTTCAGTGGCAGAATTCTCGCCTGCCATTTAGCCTTCAAATATCATGCCTTCCTTAAGTTGTAGACATAAAATAGGAAAGCAATGTGCAAGTGGATCAACATTATATAAAAGCATTACTTTTATTTAAAAAATGACTTTTTGTTTAGAATAGCAGGGGAAACTTGCTAGCATTAGAAAACTTGTCTTTCAATTTAGTGGATGTTTGGTGACAGAGGTGGTTTTTGGGGTTTTTTTTTTCCCCTGTCTTTTTGAGACAGGGTTTTAGTAAGCAATTCAGGCTGGACTTGAACTCACAGTGATCCTCTTACAGGCATGTGTCAGAGACAGTGAAACTTTTTAAGAACTATTTTAATAAAAAGCATATGCCTTGAAATCAGGCAGCTCTAATTCAAATGACTTTAATAGACACAAAGTTTGGATGCTTAAAATAAAAATAAAATATTGCGAGTTAGTTTTATGTTCTCCGCATAACATAAGCACAATAAACCTTTGAGGGTAGTACGAATTTATTAAAGGCACTGACATAGATTTTATCATCCATTCAAAACCGTACACGCACAAATGCCCAGGCCCCTAAATCATTTTTTTTTCCAACTGCAAATAACTTATTCTTTAGGAGGTGAAGAAGAGCGGTGCTGGAAGAAATGGTATTTGTCAGTAGTGTGCCCAATTTTTTAATTGGCCTGATGTCTATTTTTAGATAGAAGTAGCCTGGGATATAGCTCACTGGCACAGGTGCCTGCCTGGCAAGTGTAAGGTTGAGTTCGATTCCCAGTACCGGGTGAAAAAAAAACTCATCACCTTCGAATGAACATTTCAAAATCACCAAAGACTGTGCCTGTAGCACTTGATACTTATTAGGAACAAATAAAGGTTTTTATGGGTAAAAGTTGCAACGTCACGTGTGAGACAGGTGGTTGAGGCACAACTGTCCTCGCAGCTGCCAAAATGTGCAAACAAGAGGGCAATATCAACCTTTGCTAGCCATCCATCCAAAGGCCTCCCCGCAAGGCCTCGGAGGCGTGGTCTGGGTCCGCGGCCGCGTTTCTTCAAAGCTGCCGGCTTTCCGAGTGCACACAAAAATGAAGGTCAAGGCGCCCTTCCGCGGCACTTCCGGAAAATCTCCAACAATCCTATCTGTGCCCCGGGGTAGAGCAAGCGCAGGCCTTCTGGGTGTAGCGCCCAGGGAAGGGGAAGGTGGCAGCCTAGGGACGCTGCCTCGGACCGGTCCTCCGGGATAGCACTAGCACCACCAGGGCTGGCTCCCACGTGGAGCCCGTGGTGGGATCGGCCCCCCCCGGCCGCCAGCTCTGATTGGTCAAGGGCCGCAGGCGCCGGAGCTGCACCTCAGTGGTAGGCGACTGGGACAAACCCGAGAGGGCTCAGGACGAGAGGACGGGACCACGTGGGCAAGGACACCAGCGGCAAGTAAGCGTGCTGGACCCAGGCAGGAAGCGAGCAACCACCCAGCGACCAGGCTGCGCAACGCCAAGTGGGCCCTGGCTCGCTGCAGGCGCTGTCACCCTCCTCCCCACGTCGGGGAGCGCTCACCTCAGCGCTAGCGGCGCCTCCACCTTCAGCTTTTTGGGCTTCGGCTCCCCCACAGCAGCTGCCATCTTCGCGCTACCAACCTACTTTCGCGCCACCACTCACCGAGCAACGCACTCCCCGCCCCTCGACTCGCCAGGCCCGCCCTTCTCGCTCCGCGCCACCCTCTTCTCAGCCCCGCCTCCGACTCCGCCCCCTTTGCCACTCTCCAGTCCCCAGCCTTAGGATCGACCCCCTCGCGGTTATAACGCCCCGCCCTTCCGCGATCCCTTTTACCCTACGGAGTTAGGCTGCTGATGAGCGCCTGAGTCGGGATAGTGAGAAACTCTCCATTTTTCTAGATTCTGGGTGATCAGGACGATTTAAATCCTCCACCTCTGGAAACACTTTCCTCTCTTTGAACGTCTTTCTGCTTATTTAATCTAACACCGGAGACCACGCCCGTATCTTTGAGACTGTTAGTCAGGCAATCTATTGGGCACTCCGAGCGCGGGGTCCTCACGGCCTTCTCTGCCGCTTCAGCTTCGGTCCAGAGAGGACCCAGCGCCAAAGCCCTGACTCGCCCTGCTGTCGGGGTGAGTGTGGGGGGCGGGGAATGTACGGACTGGGGATAGCTCAAAAACTGAGGAGTAGGCTGGTAGCTGGCCCTCGGGACTCCAGTATGGGCCCTGGAGCGGCCATGGGCCGGGGCCGCGCCTCCTCCCGCGCCTGGCCTTCGGGTTTTACAAACTGGGCGGGAAGGGAGCGGTGCACCTACACCCGGCGTTCTGAAACCCGTTCCCCCAGGAGGTCAAGCTCTCGGTGCTCTGTAGCAGGAAAAAGGCCTTGTCACCCTCCGTGAGCCCGATGACTTGATTCTCAGCCCTCAGGGATTCCACCCTGGAGGACAAAACCCTTGATGGGCCTGAGCGGAAGGCCTCAAACCCAAATGGTTTCTGTCTGAACCTGGGGTAGAAAATACAGTGAGGAAGGCGTTACGGTTCTTCAGAAGTAAGGGGACTGGGATCTAAACTGAGGAGATGGCAGTGAGTATGCAAAGTCAATGAGTAATGTGGCGGCTTGTGGTAGTTTTGAAGCTGAAGCTTCCATCCTGCATGGTTGAGAAGGTGGTGTCGCTTTAAAATGAGGAGCTGTCATGGGAACAGCAGGAGTATTCGATTTATCGAATTCGAAACAGTGCTTTAGATGCAGATGGATTTAAAAGATCTCGCCGATTAAGCTGGAAACTGAAGGTGAAAAGAAGCGTCGTGTTGAAAGGTATTAGTGGTATAAAATGCTGAAAGGGTCAAGGAAGGGAATTTAAATTAGAGTAGGTAGTTGGATCTGATGATTTGTCACTGGCCGATTTGAGAGAGGAGAGAAATATTTTAATAAAATCAGTTACTGGGGAAGGATTGCAAGTGTAGACTAATCATTTGAGGCATTAATATTATTTAGATAGGGAAAAATTTGAAATTTGGTTTTAATGAATGCAAGCTTAAAGTAACCAGCGCATAAAAGATCCCAGAAGAGAAAGGGATAAAGAGTATAGAATGGCTAATTTTGGAAAGAGATACATTACCCTTTAAATTGGGATTATAAAGAAAATAAACCTAAGGTAAACATAAGGTAAATAAAAATTACCATAAATTTACATATGCTTAGTAGGAACGTTCTCTTGATACCAGATTAGTTTTTCTTACAGTCTTGAGATTTTTAGGGGTCCATAATCATTCAACAAAGTAGGTATTTTGTAAACCACTTATAATCTCTCAGTTCATGAGTGGTAATGGAAGGTCTAGAAAGGTGATACTCTTCCCTCTACAAGTGACCTTTCTGTTACAAAGAACACTGGAACCATTATCTTGCAGCAAACCTTCTGAAGTATACAAACCTTCTCTTCTATTTGAAGAGGAAAGAGTGTCACTTCTTAGAAAAGGATCTTCACCAGTCTCCCAGTATACTCTGTCCTGCTTCTCAGGGACCTTCAGTTTCCCCCTTGTTCCTACATCAGCTTTCCTCTGATATTTTCACCTTCCTATCAGTATTTAAAATAATCTTCCCTCACATTATGAAGTATTGCATTTATTTGTTTGTTAGTTTTTTGAGACAGGGCCTCACTGTGTGCTTCAGGCTGGCCTTGAATTTGCAGCAGTCCTGCCTCAGCTTCCTCAGTGCTGGATTATAGGCGTGGGAGGGAACACTCCCAAACATTTTCAGTTTTTGTAGATTAAACTCTACAGAATGTTTAACAGTATTTACCACTCCAGCTTTATGGACACATACTAACAACATTCTAGTTATTAAAAACCACACACCATTGTTAAAAACCAGTGACTATCCTTGAACTGACTATGTAGCCAAGGCAAACCTGAAAACAGTGATCCTCCTTTCTCAAGCTCCTGAATGGTGGGATCACAGGCCTTTGCCATCATGCCTGGCTGGCAATGTATCTTGTACTGTAACAAAATTTTCAAAATTTAAACACACTGTATTTGTTATCAGCTTTCATATACCTCCATTCTGTGCCTTTTAGTCCTAAAGACACATTGTCCAAAGATATTTTTGACTGTTGTAATTGCATTGCTTGCAAAACAAGATTTAGTAAAGAAGATTCACAAAGGATTTAAGGTACACTCAAAGCTCTAGTGAGACTATAGGACTGTCTCAAAACAATTTTTTGTGACACAAAAGATGCTGGGAACAATAACAGCAAAAAAAAAAAGGCAGGAATAGTTAGGAATTCATGGCTTTCCCAGAAAGTTTATTAAAATAATGAAAAAACCTACAGTTATTGGAAGCATAACTAGATAAACAATGCAATTTACACTGCTTTGTGTAATACTATTTATTATAGTATTAGGGGTAGACCGTAGTAAAGAAAAACAAAATAAACTTCCCTATTATAGAAGGTTATGATGGGTTTTGAAAGTAAGCACTGTTGAGAGCTGCAAGTGTTATACTTTGTCTAAGCACTAAGGATAACAAGAATAAATCCAGTGGACTAGTTTAACTTGCAGTATTGTGAAATCTGAACTGTTGCCAAGAAAAACATTGGTGGAAATTTTCCTGGAAAGAATTTTTCAGTGGCTTAAAAGGATGAATAGAGATCTGACCCTAAAATAAGGAAACTACAAAGTCTCATGCAAAAATAAACAGCTCTCCATCTGGTATGGTGGCACATAACTGTCTCCCAGCACTCAGGAGGTGGAGGCAGGAAGAACGCTGAGTTCAAGGGCAGCTTAGGCTACCTAGTGAGTTCAGAGGTATCCCGAACTACATGGTGAGACCCTGTGTCCAGAGAAAAATTTAAAGTGGAGGTTGAGTGGGTATGTGAGAAATCAGCTCTGCAGAGGGAGCGTGGGCCAGACAAAGAAGAAAGAGCAAAAGCAAAACTGAAGGTACATTTGGCACGCAGGTGTGGTGCAGGCTGCAGTGCAGACTCCTGAAGGATAGCCCGATTTAGCAAGCCCTATCTCAAAGTAATAAAGGATTGAAGATGTATCTCAGTGAGGAGGGCTCTGGATTCAGTCATCAGTATTGGGAAAACAAACAAACTGAAGCAGCACATTCACTGCGCTGCCCAGTGGTAGCCACTAATCATGTGTGATTACATACCTAGATTCAAATTATAGTTAAAGCTTCAGCCAGCCATGGCAGCACACACTGTAATCCCAGCTCTTGGGAGGCTGAGACAGGAAGATCACTTGGAGCCGGAGGCCATCCTGAACTACATAGAGCAAAAGTTATAACTTAAGTACATTAGTTGAATTAGCCACGATGCAAGTGCTCAGTTGCCACTTGTACCTAGTGGGTACCATACTGGACAGCACAGATAAAGGACATGTCCTTCCTTGCAGAAAGCCTTGTTGTTCCGTGCTTAACTAGAGTCTGTTAATAAGAGTCAGATAAAAGCAGGAACTCAGCATTCAAATAGAACTAGGATTGGATCGCAACACTCACTTGTGATCCTAAGTAACTGATTTAATCTTTTGAGACGATATTCTCTAACATGAGTTTAAGAGCAGTGTTCATTAACTTGTGAAAAGTTAATGAGATAGGGGGCTGGTGAGATGGCTCAGTGGTCTAAAGCACCTACTTAGAACAAGCTTAGCAAAGCACAGGGACCGCGGTTCAATCCCCAGCACCACATGCCAGCCAGCCCTGCCCCCTGGTGGGCTGAGCTGGCCACACACACACACACACACACACACACATAAATAAATAAAATTAAAAAAAAAAGTTAATGAGATAATGTAGGTAAAGTGCCTACCACTGTGTGTGACTCAACATTTTAGATATTATTCATTCATCCTTAAGGAATGAAACACTGAGTATAGCGGAAAGATTACTTTTTGCAAAAGATACCATATTCCAAATGAGACCCTGCACACACACAAACAAAAAAAAAACAAAAAACCTAAAAAAAAGCGTATTCTATAGCTCAAAGATGCTCAAAGCCTGTTCCGTGTTTAATATTTCAGATGCACATTTTATTCCAAGAAAACGGTTATAAAATTTAGTTACAAGGGGCTGGCCAAATAGCTCAGTGAGTTAAAGCACCTGCAAGCAGGCACAGGGGCCAGGGGTTGGATCCCCGGGCCTGCCATGCTGGCCCCACCCCCAAAGCACACTGAGACAGCAGTTGAGACTAGGGGTGGTGGCGCACGCCTGTAAACCAAGCTCTTGGGAGGCTGTAAACAGGAGTATCATTATGAGTCTCATCTAGTAGTGAGACCCCGAACACCTTGTAGACCTTTCCCTAAAAAAAAAAGTTACAGATCTTATCACTGAATAGTCCTATTAAAATGAAAGATTATCAGTTGCAGTTAGGTCACCTAAGTCAGTAGGTTCTGTATAACAATTCTGTGTATTCTAATGTCACTACTACTACTCAAATAAAAATGTAAGGCTGACACAAAAATCTACTAAGCAATGCATCTGACTAGATGAATTGGAAAAATTTCCCAACCCTAAAGGTCCTAACCCTAAAGTATCAGGATTTATTGCTATCAACTAAGATTTATTGTTTGGCTATTAGAGATGATTTTAACAGGAAAAAAAAATTTTTGTTTCTAATAACTTTATTAATGCAGTAATTAGTCAAACATATCTTAGTATTATTTATTTGGTAACTATTGAATATTTACCAACTGAGAAGGAGAAACTACCACATATTTTTAGTTAACTTCCTTTTCATACGATAAATGACTTCTTGGGGCTGGGGAGATATAGCTCAATAGAATAAGCACTTGCCTGGCAAGCACAAGGGCCTGAGTTCAATCCCCAGTTCCGCCAAAAAAAAGATAAGTGATTTCTGGAAAGAGTTGTCAGGTTGATGTCTTTGTTACTAGTTCAGCAGTATTGAATGGGTCAATTTTGGAAATTCTTTCTATTTGGAATTTATCTTCATGCATAGAGACTATTTGATTTTAAATTCTCCTTTATCTGCTTGTACCATATAGTACTATTACTTTGAATGATTGGATCACTAAACATCTGATACTGATGCTTACCGATACAAAAGATAAAACAAATTGTGGCAATTAAACATTTTTCCACTGTCCCTAATATTACCTGCATAGTAAACATTTTATTTGAAACATAACTCGTAGGAAAGATAACAAATCATAGTAAAAAGGCCAATGAATTACCACAAAATGGACACAGCATGTAAACATCCAGATGAATAAGGTTTGCTAGCCCTCTCAGAGGCCATGTTCCTCTCAGTTCCTATCTTTGCTATTATGATTTTCTCTGTGGTTCTTTGGATTGAAGTAAACATTTGAGTTGTTGATTTTTTTTTTTTTTTTACTATTACACATATTTTTGGTACACAGTAGTACACATTTCTGTTGAGGCCATGTGGGAATGGATTTGTGCTGCAAAATATTAAGAATACTTTTAAGATCTAAGTAATATAAGCTCACAATTTTAGAGTATACAGTTCAGTAGTTTTTAGCATAGTCATGGAGCTATGCAACCATCATCTGTAGTTAAGAAAATTTTTATCACTCCAAAAAGAATTGCCAGTCATTGCCAGTAACTCCCCATTCCTCCCCAACTGGCAGCCACTAATCGACCTTCTGTCTCCATGGATTGACCTCTTCTGCACAGTTGATACAAGAATATGACTTCTTTTTTTTTCTTTTTGAGATGGAGTCTCACTGTGCGCTTCAGGCTGACCTTGAGTTTACTTTGTAGGCCAGGCTGGCCTCAAACTCTCAACAACCCTCCTGCCTCAGCCTTTGAGTGCTGGGATTACAGGCATGTGCCACCATGCTTGGCTAAGAATACAACTTTTTAGGTTCAGATTCCTTCACATATTACCCATATTGTAACCTGTGTAACTGCTTGATTCCTTTTTTTTTTTTTTATCTTTTATTTATGTATTTGATATAGGGTCTCTCTATACAGTTCAGACTCATGATCCTCTTGTCTGAGCCTCCCCAGTGTTGGGCTTACAGGTGTGTACCACCATGCCCAGTTTTGGGGGCCAGAACAGTGCTGGGGCTGGTATGGCATGCAGTACTGGGGATCAAAACCAAGACTTTGAATTTCCCAGGCAGGCACTTAGACCACTAAACTGTCTCCCCAGCCCCAGTTAATTCCTTTTTAGCGCCAAATATTTCATTCTATTGATAGTCCATATTTCATTTCACATTTACTAGTTGATACACATTTTGGCCATTTCCCTTTTTTAACATTTATCATGTTTCTATGAACATTTGTGCACAGTGTTAAATTTCTGAAGAACTCAAACTTTTCCATGGTGTCTGCACCATTTCATATTCTCAGGACAGTGTCTGAGCATTCCAGCTTCTCCATTGTGTCAACACTTGTTAATGTCTTCCACTATTACAATTGACCTGGTGGTGATGAGATACTGTCTCATTTTGGGCTCTTTGTTGTTTTTGGTGTTGTTGGGTTTTTTTGTTCTTGGGGTTTTTGTGTGTGTGTTTTGAAACAATCTCACTATGTGATTCAAGCTGGCTTTGAACTCGTGTAGCTGAAGTTGGCTGGAACTTGTAATGATCCTTTTGTCTCTGCCTCCCAAGTGCTAGGATTGCAGCCTTGTGCCACCAGACCTTGCCTTATTGAGATTTTTGATTTGCATTTTCTAGTGACTTACTTTTTTTTAAGCATCTTTTCCTTTATCCTTTTTTAGCATCTTTTCCTCTGTCTTTTTATATGGTTTGTTTATTTGAGAAATGTCTTTGCAGGTCATTTACTAGGTTTTTGTATAGGGTTATCTCTGCCGGAGATGTTGCTCAGTGGCACAGCATCTGCCTGGCAAGCATGAGGCTCTAATTTCAATTCCCCATATTAAAAAAATAGGGTTGTCTCTTTATTATGAAGTTGCCAGAATTGGTTATATATTTTATATAGTAGTCCCTCATAAGGCATGTATTTTTTTCTTATTCTCTGGACTGTCCTCACATTCTTTTTTGGATTTTAGGGAAGGGTCTACAGGGCGTTCAGGGTCTCACTACTAGATCGGACTGATAGTGATCCACCTGTTTACAGCCTCCCAAGAGCTGGGATTATAGGCATGTGCTACCACACCTAGTCTCAATTTCAGTCTCAGCAAGTCCCGGGGGCAGGGCCAGCACAGCAGGCCCTGGGGATCAAACCCCTGGCCCCTGTGCTTGCTTGTAGGCGCTTTAATCTACTGAGCTATTTGGCCAGCCCTGTCTTCACATTCTTGATAATTTCCTTTGAAGCACAAAAGTTTTAACTTTGATAAAGCAACTTGGGTTACTTTCCTCTCCTTCCCCCCTCCTCCCCT